GTAACAAAAATGCTAGATATGATTTTTCCAGACCCAGCTTTTAAACAATATATATATAATATAAATTTTAGAATTACATCAGAAAATTTCAGTTTACCTTCAAAAATAATTACTCAATTGGATATTACAAATCATTTTAGTCCTTTATTAGATATTACTTGAAACTATATAGATTTTAATAGACTTTTTATTATTGCTCAAGTAATTAATAGAAGATAGGTGAATTATTTTTTGAGATTTGTATTAAACTTTTTTTAGTAAAAAGAGATATATACAATATATTAGTTTTAACATTTGTAATATTATCAAAAATAATTTTTTATAAATAAAAGTTCAATTAATAACTGTTTTAATTTTAAAAAAAAATTCTTATTAAAAATAAAAATTTAATTGAAATAATTAAATTGTTATTAAAATTATTTATAATAAAACAATTCAAATAATTATAATTATAAGTTTTATAAAAAAATTATAATATTAATAAATTTAATTTAATAAAAAACTTTAAGGTTTTTTATAATAACAATTTTTGAAAAACTTATATTTTATTAAAAATTATTAAAGTAAAGATTTATTATATAAATTTAAAAAACTTTAAATTAATTAAAGATTTTTGAAATTTATTTATTTTTATAAAGAATATTTTAATATTAAAAATATTTATAAATTTGTATATTAATAGTATAATAGTTAATATTTTCAAATTCAAATCCCAGGATATTAATTTAATTTTAAATAATGGTAGTTGAATTAAATTAAAAATAATATTTGATATTATGATTTATTAAAAGTATTATTTTTATATAAAGCTATTTTATATACTAATTTAATAAATATTAAAATTTTACTTTTTATAAAAGATATAATAATATGATGATTGTTTGATTAATATAATAATAATTTTTAAAAATTGTAAAAAAATAATATAAATAATATTTAATTTTAAATAAAATGATTTCATAATTCTTTTTCTATAATACTTGATATTTTTTTTTGTAAATTATTTTTTTGAAACCAACAATTATAATTAATTCAATAATTTTATAAACAGTAAGATAATATAAATACTTGATTGTTTAGATAGTTTGAAAAAACAGGTTTTCAATAATATTGTATTTGTTAAAAATAGATATTATTTTTAGTATTTTATATTTTAATTTTTTTTTAATTTTTTATAATTTCAAAAATAAAACTAATATAGCAGTTAAATAATTTACAATATTAATAGTATTTTGATATATTAATCTTTAATTCAATATATAGTTAGTTCATGCTTTTAGAATAGGATCAATAGCAACAAGTTAATATAAAATAAAATTATTATATATAGATAGGCAAGGCCTTGCTAGTTAAATTAAAAAATATATTTTAAAAAGTTTAAGATTTTTAAAAAAATAATTATTTAATTTTAAAAAACTTATTTATTTTTTTTTAAATTTTCTTTCATTTTTTCAAATATACAAACTTTTTAAATTTTTTTAAAAAATTTTTTATTTCAATTTAATTTAATTTTGAATTATATTTAATATACTGTATAACAAAATTAAAAATAAAATATAAACACAAAAAATATATATAAATCTATATATAAATCTATATGATTTATTAACAGGTATATTGCAATTAATAAATTGGTTAACCATAATATAATAACGATATTGATATTTTATTAAATTATATTTATTACATTATACAATAAAATTTTTATTCTTATATTTTTTGTTATATTTGTGATTAACAAAATTATTTAAAATAAAAGAAAAAAAAATAAAATTAAAACCATAAATGGGATTTTTTTTATTAAACCGGTTACAACATATAGTATATTTTCTTTTCTTATAAATTTGATTTTGTTTTTTTTCAATTTTCTTATTGAATCAAGTTTAAGAGTTAAACAATAGAACCGATCTTTGACTTTTGATTTCTTTTAACGCAATATCCAGTATCATCGATTCGATAGTCTTAAATTAGAAGAAATCATGAGATATCTTTATATATTCAAAAAATATAAATAAAAATAGAATATGCTGTTATTAATTAAATAATAATAGCGATAACTTTCTTTTTTCATTTATTTGTTATATATTTATACTAGCTAAAAATTTTTTCCCCTTTGTTTGCACTATTTTTTTCTACTTCAGTAATTCGATCTTAGAACGGTTTCATTCTCACATAATAGACAAAAATATCTCTGACAGATTTTCCGGAGGGTAGAATCCATTTTTGTGCGTCATTTGAAACAAGTGTTTGAATGTCGTTTAAACTGGGAGGCTCATAGTTATTTTGTCTCTAATAAAGTTGACATTTATTCGCTGAAATTATCGCTTTCTCTATTACTTGACAGAAAGCATTTCTAATTCTTTACGAAACGCAAGCATAAAATTGCTAATTTTTAATTTATGTTAGATACTGACTTTGCATTGTGGAATTGATTCATTTTCATAGGATTGCTTTATTTTTATAATACTCATGTTTCTGACAATACGCCGGTTCTAAAGAAGAAAACAAAATGATAGTTTTTTTAGATTATTAAAAATTCGTGACAACGAGAAAAGTGAAATTTTCTAGAAATTAACTACGGATAGGGAGGTTATCGGACCGGAAAGTAGCTGGTTAGGTCCGGATTTTGACCGAGTCGGTCCTATATTGGTCCTACAGTATTTTCGGAGGCCTTGAAATTATCCAAAAAGAAAACAGAAAACAAATAGGACCCCGACTCGGTAAAACCGGACTAAACTAGGACTTTCCAGTCCGATTTACCAGGTAAATGATAACCAATAAACAACTGGTATGCAGTATGTTTAAAAAGTTAAAAGACTAGTTCCATTCTTAAATATTTATAACTTTAGTTAAAGTGGTTGATCCCAGTGGTTAATATAATAATCTAATTTATTATGCAATAGATTGCAATATAATATATACAGTAGAATTATTCCTTTAAGTTAGGTTATAAAAAATTTTTAAAAAACAAATTAGTTAATAAATAAATTAATATTATACGTACTGTATATAAGAAATTTTTTAATTATAATTATTTTTTTTTAGTTTTCAAATAAATTTATTGTAATTATATTTTTTAAAAAATCTATATATATGGTAATTGTTTGTTATAATATTATACAAATTGACAATTAATCAATAAAAAATTTTTAAATTAATTACATTGTACTTGAATAAATATAAATTTGTTTAGTTGATTTTTTTTTATTAAAAATATTGTTATATATACATGTAAAGAAAAATTTACATTTGATGAAACCAAGTAAACTTGACCATTAATTTATTATTAAATAGATATTTAAAACTAATGGATAATACTGTATTTATTTATTTATTAATAGATTAATCTTTCATCTTGTAATCAGTATTCAATATACTGTGTATATTAAATTTTGTAAAATCAATTGATGATTAAAAAAAAAAAAAAAAAAAAAAAAAAAAAAAAAAATAGATATTATTCTTTTATTCCTTTAATGATTATTTTTTTTGTTTATACGTGCATGACAATTATTGCATAATATACCTTATTTATTAAAAGATGGTACACATTTCTTTTAAGTGACCCACCGTGTACAACAATTATGAGCAAGAGTTGACGTGTAAATAATTCATCTTAGAATCACAGGGTTTCAAAATTAAAAGAAAAAAAATTTTTTTGCTCGCACAAGTGTGCGCGCTCAAATTAAAAAAAGTTAAAAATCAGCATTACACAAAAAGGAAAATTTGCAAAAAATGCAGGTTGCGAAGCTTTAATGTATACAGCAAATCACTGAAGGGTCATTTGATATTCGTGCATTTATTCGTAGTTTTGAGGGTAGCTTCAAATGGAAAAGCGTCAAGAGTGGCTCATTCAAACATCAAATTCGTCATAATACATCAAATATTATATCACCAGGCGTTCGAGGTAGGCTATGCACACAACATGCAATTGAATCATAATTATTTTTACATAATCAAACTTTATCAAACAGTAAAAGTCAACATCAGGTAAAGCTTTGGGAAGAGATAGTGAACTTGGGAAAGAAGTTCGGTGGTGAGATAGAAAATCTTGCGCTGTTAGATGGAGCAATATTTGTTGCTGACACAAATACCCCGCCTTTTTAATGTAACTTGTTCTGTGCACGCGTGTGAATTTTTACCGAATGGGCTAGACCATTAATTTCATCAGTATATTTAAATGGGAAAGATAGGTTTAATGCGTGTGCATATATAGAATGGTTATTTGCCGAGTGATGTGTCGGTGTGTGGCAAGGAAAGGTTTGGGAGGTTGGTTGGGGGTAGGGAATGAAGACAAGGGAAGGAACGAGACGGGCGGTGGGCGGACGAGAAGGAAGGGTGTGCGGATTGAATGAATGAATTGTGTGTATGTACTGTATGTATGTACAGTTTGTTTGAATGATGAATGGAAAAGCGTATTGTAGGAGTTTACCGTTGATACGTACTTGTATACTTTGGAAAAATCTTATTTACGTCTTAGGTGTGTGGTACTTAAACGTCATTAGTGTAATGACGTGACATGTCACGTACCCATAATCACATATTTTATCATTAACAAAAAAAAATTCATTGATGGGGAGGTGAGAGAGTAACAAAGTGCATAACTATTGGTCACACCGCATGATCTAGACAATGGCTTGTGAATTGTTCGACACTGGTATACACGTTTTTTCAAGCTCCTCGAACCAACACGTCTCGAAAGGTGGAGATATGAGCGAGGTGACGGCGGAAATCAAGTCATGTTCATTTTCTTTGTTATCGCTTCACTTTTCAACGCGCGCATCGTCGCTCTCGAGATCTGCAGGACCGACTGCAGAAAGGTTAGTGACAGCAGAAGCATAAGATGACCGCCCGCTTTATCGTATCATATGCGTAACTTCCTCCTTCTCTCACTCGCATTATCGGACTTCCCTTTCTACCAAATTACCATCTTTCTTTTCTCTTTCTTACCCTCAGGAAGATGACACAACATGTGAATTTTCTGCGGTTCAATTCAAGCGGTGGTGAATAGGTGAGGCACATGCGTACATACAGTAAGTACAATGGTTATTCTTTCTCATACCAGCACTTAATTACATTTCCCCTTTGGAGGAGAGCTGTAAAGTTTCACCCGAAATTACCACAAACACATAGGTAGGTGCTTATTTGTTATTTTTGTAGTCACATAGACGATTCTTGTCGTTCTCTGAATAACATTTTACCCCACAAGAGTTCTCCAAGGTGTGCACAAATAACATAGGTGTATACGTAGTCGGCACTTTTTTATTTATTTGCATACACAATTCCTGGTGACATAAACTCCCTTCCCACCAAAAAAAGTCTAATTCAATTTTATACGTTATTACTTATTGTAGTAATATGTATATATATGTTTAAGGCTGATTTTTTTTTTGTGTGTAAATCAAAACCGAACCATTCTTCCTTTTTCTCTCAATTGCGTTACCTTACTTTATCTTTAAGGCTGGTTTTATATTGTTTCTCACCTGTTCAACTCTCAGCTCATTGAATAAAATTAATAGTTTGTCAGCCCCTTTTTCGAACACCTATATAAACCTTCGGTCGTCGAATTTTCTGAACTTTGGCAATAATTTTTTTTTGTTGTCTGGTGTGTCCCTCCAGGGATTCTATCTTCGCCGCATTCAATTTTATTATAATAATTATAATAATATATTATTTTTTTATTTCTTTTTCATATCTAACGTTCCATAAGTTCTACTTATACACACACACTGGTGATTTTTTTTCTCTTTTCCAAAGTAATATTCACGCGCTTCTAATTCTTTTCGGTCTAGCCTTGATAAACTAATTTCATCTAACCCAATCTACTTATTTACATCACCTTTGACCATATATTATACATACTGTATGTCTATTTATACACTATTTTATATAATCATAAATTAATATATACTGCATATATACGGTATTATCTATTGTATACGTATATAAATGCATCGCCCTTTCTAAAATTATTTCATTAGGCCGTTTATCATAATTTGAGAACGACTAAACCTATCTGTTCGCTCTCAGTGACAGGTTTATATGTGTGCCAATAAAAAAAAATATAATTTACTACTTCTATCCCCTTCAACTTAAGTTCTTGGAAAAAAAAAAAAAAAAAAACCATAAAATACACGAGAAACGTCCTTTCGTTAAACAATTTTGTTAATCATCCCTTCACCTCAAATTTACTGCTGTACTTGTTCGTGTTTCAGTATTTATTATTATTTTCCTCCGACAACCGTCGTGGATAACAAAGCAATCATCGGATTTTCACAGGTAAAAAAAATTTTTTTTTTTTTTTTGTTACATACCCCTTAGTTTCTTAAAACTATTAATACATGAGACAGACGAACTTATAAAAATCTATCTATCCGCTCCTCTCTCTCTCCCTCTCTTCTTCCTCCCAAATACACAACAGCTACTAAAACAATCGATCATTCTTTGTATTCTCTTCTCTCAAGTTTTTTGACACCATCACCACCACCACCACCTTCGTCATGTCCACTCTAACAGAAACTTACTTTAATCCTTCCGATCGGATTGGCACTTTCATCGATAATGGAAACCTCGAGATAACCCACATCCTTGGGGTGGGTGCTTACGGTGTGGTTTATGCTGCCAAACACCTTCTCACCCAACGTGTATATGCTGTGAAATGTATGCACAAAGCAAACATTGATGCTCGTCAGCACCGACTACATGCTACAGAGATCAATCTACACGCTCAGGTCTCGGCTCACCCAAACGTCATCGGTCTTGAAAAAGTTGTTGAAACCAATGACACCATCAATCTTGTTCTCGAATATTGTCGTGAGGGTGATCTGTTTTCAATGATAACCGAAAAAGGTGGATACCTGGGAAACAATCATCTCATCAAACAAGTTTTCGTTCAAATCTTGGATGTGGTCCAGTTTTTTCATTATCACGGAATTTATCATCGTGATCTAAAACCTGAAAATATATTGGTGTTTGATGGTGGAAGGACCGTTAAACTTGCTGACTTTGGCTTGGCTACGACGGATACTTGGTCAAGGGATTTTGGTTGTGGTTCAACTTTCTATATGAGTCCAGGTAAGGATTTCAATCGGTTCATTCGTTCGTTCACCCTCTCCTTGTGTTTCCAATGATGGAGCGGTGTGCTGTGATCGTAATTTGAATTCACCTTGCTCACTTGAACCTCCCTTCTTTCCCGTAGAATGTCAAGGTGGACTCTACAAAAGAGTACGAGGTTACGCGACTGCTCCAAATGATGTCTGGTCTTTGGGCGTCATCCTAATCAATCTCACCTGTGGTCGTAA